TGAAACTGGTTCACGTCATGGATTCAGTTATGGTGTTCTCTATACTGAGGATCCTCTATGGGATGGAAAGGGGTGTGGTGAAGTGAGCACCTGCTGTGATAAAGGAGAGTGGTTCTGTAAGGACGTTCCAAAGACCAGCTCTGATATTGAGCTACGACTGTGTGGTAATGAGCCAAGAGAGAATGAAGATACTCCAATTGAGCAGATAGAACTTTATGTACAATGATAATAATAATAATAATGAATAATATAAGCTGCTGTATAATGTTGTACCCATCATAACTAGTCAAATTCCCTATTTAAATTCCTTTATTTTTTATAAACATCAAATTTTTTAATAACAGCTAGTGGATGTGGGCTGTAGCCGGATAGATATAAAAGCACAGCAAAATTGAGTTGCCTGTCAATATATTAATAGGTTCAAATTAAGCATGAGATCTTTGCAAAGCAATGTCAAGTTCATGCTCTTAGCAGCTTTGATCTATCTCATTCTTATAAAGGAAAAAGCTGAAGCACGTCGTGTCATTCGAGCTGCTAGTGGTAGCAATACCACTGGAAACTACATCATAGTAGTAACTGATGGAGTCAATCACAGCAGATTCATGGAGATTGTGGATCAAGTGAGAAATGAAACACTCGACTCTAAAATATACGAACAAGTTGAAGGACCTTTTATCAACATAATTTCTGCCAGAATCACTGAAGATGCTGCACACAGGGTAAGCAATAATCATTACAAAATTGTTATTTTATTCTATTTTCTATAGCTCAAGGTAATGGATGGTATAGAATTTGTAGAAGAGGAAACTTATGCTGTAAAGAGTGTGTCATGGGCAATAGATCGTCTTGATCAGACAGGGCCTACTCTGGACAACACATACACACCAGAAGGGAATGGTGAAGGAGTTGATGTGTATATACTTGATACTGGAATAAAATACTCTCACAATGACTTTGGAGGAAGAGCAAAGTATCCTGGTTTTGATCCAGTTGATACAGCTGATGGTACTAACCAGAATGGTCTGGACTGTGATGGACATGGAACTCACGTTGCAAGTCTTGCAGTGGGGACCAACTGGGGAGTAGCAAAAGGAGCTGATGTGTACAGTGTACGTGTGCTTGACTGTGAGGGCTCTGCTCCTTGGAGTGTCATCGTTAATGGTGTGAACAAAGCAGGGAGTAGAATAGTGAGCAGCAATCGTTCTGGGGTAATCTCAATGTCACTAGGAGGAGGATACTCTCATACTCTCAATTCAGCATTGATAAGTGTAATGAATAAAGGTGTACCAGTAGTAGCAGCTGCTGGTAATGAGAGAGATGATGCTTGTAACTATTCACCAGCTAGCACTACTGGTGTCATTACAGTAGGGGGCTCAGCAAAAGGAGACTCTCTTTATTATTACACCAATGGAGGGACTTGTGTTGATGTGTTTGCTCCAGGATCACAAGTGACAGCAGCAGATTCATCTTGTAATTCATGCAGTGTGACTTACAGTGGTACATCAATGGCTACTCCAATTGTTAGTGGATCTGTTGCTATTCATTTGCAAAAGAATCCTGCACTAACGCCATCACAAGTCAGAAATAAAATAATACAAGACTCCCTCAAAAACAAACTCACTTATAACAATCTAAAGAACAGCCTCAGAAGTGGTACTGCCAATCGCCTCCTTCATGTGAAACGTAAGCCAGACAATAAAAATGAATTGGTTCATGATAATATATAATTTCCTTCTACAGCTAAAGCAGAAACAGTTACGGTCACTTCCACCAGCACTACTACACAGGAAGTCACTCAAATAATTACCAGCATTTCACATGCAACAGTCACACAGCAAGTGACAAGGACCACGGTATCCATTGTACCTACAACAGTAACCAGTGTCTCTACATCACATGTTAGTATTACTAGTACAGCAACAGTAGCAGTCACTGCTATTGTTAAAACGTCAGTTCCAGTAACTGTGACTGTCACTCCTACACCAACTCCTGAAGAAGGTTAGTTGGTGCATTTACATAATTATATATATCAGCAGTGTACGTCTGCATAGACAGACACATACCTAGTATACTATATTGTATGATAGTAAGGGTGGGGATGCAAAGGGTGTACATAATCTGATTTGTCATAGTAGACTAGTAGCTATAGTAACACATAAATTAGATTACATTGACTTGTCTTGTTTTGCAGTGTGTTGCTCCACTCTCAGAAACTTTGAAACCTTTGAAGTGCGAATGATGAGTGGTCTGAGTGACATTGTGAATAAAGGAGTAGAGACCATTATAGAGAGATCTTCAACATCTTCCAATTCAACTTGTGAGGTCAAGGCTCCAATAGATGGTAATACAACCACAAATGGTACGAAACCACAAGCTGTAACTAAGTCATGTGCCGAGATCATTACCAGCTTGCCTGGTGCATCATCAGGTAGGTATTACCTTCAATCTAAAGATTCAAAGATGAATGGAAGTGCTGCAGTTTACTGTGAGTTGGAGAAGGAGATAAAAGGTAACAGGGGATTCATGAGGATAGCAAATGTCAACATGTCTGATCCCAATACTGACTGTCCTGAGGGTCTCTTATTAAGAACTGATGGAAACCTTAGGACATGTCAACGTCATCAATTCCATTCTGGTTGCTCAACAACTAGTTTCAGTTCCTCAGGAGTTGAGTACTCAAGAGTGTGTGGGCGTATAAGAGGATACCAGTGGGCATCACCTAATGCTTTCTATGATACAACACTTTATTCTTCACCAAAAGTTGAAGATGATTACGTTGATGGAGTAGTACTGACTAATCAAGTTAATGAGAGTCGTTCTCATATATGGACATTTGCAGCTGCTCTTGATGAAACAGACAGAAATAAAGCAATTGTTTGTCAGTGTAGCAATGTCAATGTAACACTTAATGATTTCAAGACTCCATCATTCGTTGGTAACGATTATTTCTGTGAAACTGGATCACGTCACCAATTCAGTTATGGTGTTCTCTACACTGAGGATCCTCTATGGGATGGAAAGGGGTGTGGTAAAGTGAGCACCTGCTGTGATAAAGGAGAGTGGTTCTGTAAGGACGTTCCAAAAACCAGCTCTGATATTGAGCTACGACTGTGTGGCAATGAAGACCGTAATAATGAGGATACTCCTCTTGATCTGATTGAGTTATACATTCAATAAAAGACTGCTAAATTATTATCATTAGGATCATAAAACATTAATAAGAATAATAATAATAATCAAATTATCATTATCATTTTTGTAGAGTTTTTATTCTGAGCTTTTTTATCATTATTGCTAACTAGCTAGACATTATACAAATGATTATTATTTTATGTCACAACAAGCGAATGAAGCGCTTGAAACTGAGAGGCAGAGAGCAGGAGCTTCTTACAAGCTCTGCCACTCGCAAGCTCTCCCTCTTCCCTTCCAGAAGAACCTGGCAAGTACAGTTTAGCAAGGAGCTGCTTGCATGAAGCGTCATTTTCAGACAAAGCCTTCATTGAGGAAAGGAAGAGAGAGAGAGAGAGAGAAAGAAAAGGGAAAAGTATTAAAATGACTGACAAATTTCATTGATACACAACTGACATACATGTACTATAAACATGTACTGCTAACAAAGAGGTGACACATGAAGGCTTCCCCTGTACTATAGTACACGGTCTTTTTGGCCAATTAGTATATAGTACAGGCATCCAAAGTTTTGGGGTCATTTAGTAGTACAGGTGATGTTACCTTTGAAAAAGAAGGTGACACAAATGACTTTATTCTTGTCTGTACTAATCCTCTGGAATAACTTGATGCTAAACTTTGAGCAGCTTCTTCTTTCAGCTACACAAAATGAAATACATGCACAATGTACATGCACATACATGTATGTGAATTATATGAAAGATTATACATATATGATAAAGCTTTAAAAGTGCATTACATGTAGTACATGTACATGTATTTACACAGTCCTCTCACCAATGCAGTTTTGTGCTTCAGTTCAATGAGTGAAGACATTCTTTGAGCTAAGGCTTCTCTGGCACCAACATCTCCTGCATAGATAAACCACACACACACACATAACACACACACACACACACACACACACACACACACACAAACACAGACGTATAAATAATGCTTGATTGAAGTAAAAGTAACTGACTCTCTTTTTTGGTGATATCAACAACACAGGCATGCGAGAGAGCTGTATTCAAATCCTTGAGAAACAAAATAAAACAACTCAATGTTAACACAAGTGTATGTCTCAAACCTTTAGTAAATTGTCTGTCCTTCTAGTAAAGGATTTCTCAGTGTCGCTGCGGTTAGTCTCTTCCCCTCCCTCTCTCCTCCTCTTCCTGTCAACACTCAAAGTGCTAGCAACATGAAGACGAGGGAGGGATGACAACTTAGCCTTTAAATAAATAAAATAAATAAATAAAATAAAAATGATATTTTATAATTCTGACTTACTCTAACTGCCTGTGCTTTTAAATGAACATTCTCATCTTGTGAATAACACAAAGCCTTCTTCAAAGAATCGATCTAATGTCATAATAATTATGAATATTTCAGAACTTGTGTGAATGCTGCAAGGAATACCTGTGCTAGAAGAAGTGGAGAGTTAGATATTGGCGGGAAGGGACCAGCTGTGTCATCAGAGGCAGCAGTGCTGGGTTGAGGAGGAGTGGCTTGACTCCTGTGGGCATGAGCTGGCGACCTTGAACCCATGAGAGTAGCTAACGCTTGACGACCTAAAGAAAGATACATATAAAGAATAATAAAGAATCAAGATAAGAAAATAAAAATAAGAATAATAATGAAAGATGTACATGATACAAGGGTATAAATGAGAGTAGAGGCAATAAAGAAGGGTAACAGATCACAGTGTAGTAGCTAGTGGACACTGACCACTGAGTGATGATGTTCTTCTGGGCAGATCCTGTGGCATTGGGGACCTTGACTGAGACTCCAGCTGCTGTTTAAGAGTATCCCTCTCCTCCTCCAGCCCCTCTATATCCTTCTGTAGGACAACAATAGCTCTGTTGAATTTCCTAGAGAGAGAGAGAGAGAGAGATGTTCAACATTTTAAAAATAAGTTAAAACTAATAATGCATTATTAGAAATATTCATTATCTAACGAGAGAAGACTCATACATGTAGATTCAAAGGTTGCTGCACACACTGAGTTAGACAACATGAAGTATAACTACAAACATGTACGTAAAATGGATTTTAAAAAGTCCATCAGCTACAACATGCAATCCAAACATTATGAGAAAACATCAATAAAAATGCAGACAGCCCAGACACACCTAACACCATCAATCGGTGACTTAAGACAGCTCAACAAAGCAACTAATTACTAGCAGAAGACACACAAGGATTGTGGTAATGCTTCAACTCAAAGAGCAATGGAGAAAAGGTGTGGCACACACATGATGGAATTCTTTACTACAGTATTGCTACGAATACAGCCTGTACATGTTACCCAATAGTTTATTGGCTACATGCAATTGGATGGTTTTACAACTTTTCTCGACACACCCTTACAAACCAAGAGACTAGACATTAGTAGTTGTAACTGAATCTGTCAATAGATCACTATCATTTTTCGTGATCTTATGCTTCCCCCTCTCTCTCTCCCTCCCTCCCTCTCTCTCTCTCTAACACTTACTCTTCCTGTTGATCTAAAATAGTCTTCATTCTCTCTGTCTCCATCTTTTCCTCCTCGACTTTACGGGTGCACTAAAGATCAAACAAGTGTCACATGATGAAAGCATGACAGTCACATGACAGTCACACAACAAACTGTTGCACTGCTCACTTCAGCTCCTGCCTGCTCCAGTTTCTTCTCAAGGAGAGCAACCTTGGTGTTTATCTCTCCGATCTCTTGCAGTTTCAGTTTGAGGTCTTTCTTAAGTTCCTTTATTTCGTTGTTCTTCTCTTCGATCTTGTAACGGAGACCCTCAGTATCACTCAACTCATCTTTGACCACTTGAGCACGAAGTGTAATGGGAGGTGTAAACTAGCGGAGGGGGCAGGGGGGCAAGGATGGTTAAAAGGTGGTTATTTTTTTAAAAGATATATCATGTGACAAACTTTAAGTTTAGGATCCTGAGAGTCGTACGTTCCATTTTGTAACTCGGTCAAAAAGTGTTCCAGATCTTTGGCCATCTTTGACATGCAGGAGCTAATGAAGAGAGAGAGAAGACATTAACTTACTTATACACAGACACACACACACATAAGTACATGTAACATAAGGCCCTTACTGTGGTATACTGTCTCCGCCTGCTTCTTCAATCATCACTCCTTGGAACACAACTTTTGCCATCTCATTAAACAAGACTTCCAACTCGGCATTTGACAGACTCTCATTATCTAAAAAATCACACAATAATCACATGATGATCACATGATGGTCACATGACACTAACCAGCCAGTCCCTGGTTCTTATGGTGTACTCTGCTATACAAAGCCCTAAAGTTAGTGACCAGTAGTGCCTGGTTCTTGATGAGAGAAGGAAAGAGGTCATCAGGCAGAAGTATGATCTTCCCTGACTGTGGGGTGGGTAGACGCCTCCTTGCCTTCCTGCAGGTCTGTCTTATGTCATTATTGAAACTCTCAAGCTCCTTTAATACTGAAAGAAACCCACTGGCGTTCTGTAAAATACAAAGACGCAGTAATGGACCTGATGACTACATGTACATGTACAAATTTACAACAATCTGAAAGACTGAAATCACAAGCACTGCTCCTTTCTCTTATGTATGTACATGTACACATGTACCCTCTCCCTCTCTCTCTCTCAATTCTCCCTCCCCCTCTCTCTCTCTCATTACCTTTGACATATTGTGTAATCTTGTCAGTTCCAGTGTCATGTAGTTGCAGCCATTAGTGACAACCCTCACATTATCTTGAAACAGGTCCATGACTCTTCCTTTAGGACTGAACTTTAGGCGGTTCTCAAGCAGGCTCTATTAAAGGGTTAAAAATACCCACAAGAGACTCATAGACTGACCTCAAAGTGTTTGATGGCTTTCTCAACTCCGTTAAGAGGAACGGCTTCATCCAACTAAGCAACAATAGGAATATCATAATTTAATATCTGTTACTACATGTTTCAATTTAACATGTACATGTACATCAAAAGTGCGCTACAACCACAAATTACTTACTCAATGGTATTAGATATCAGTCACTATGATATAAATTCAATTATTCATATAAAAGTACATGCTGTGTATGCATGGGTGGCATAAACCAGTCAAACCTGTTCTTTCCTCAATAGCTCAATTAATATGTTAAGGGCCCTCTCGTGCAAAGCAAGGTCATCTCTGATTCCACCAACTTGACGATACAAAGGAACATCACATTCAGTTAAAATCCTAACAAGGGAAGATGAACATGTACAATGTACATATGTAAGAGAGAGAGGGAGGGAGAGAGGGAGAGAGAGAGAGGGAGGGAGGGAGGGAGTAAATGTCATTACACATAAAGCATTATATTATACTAGCAACGGGCGACAAGAGTCCGAAGGAGTATAAACGTTTCTATGACTACCGCATTCTTACCTAATGACAACATTGACCAGCTGCCAAAGAGTCGTTAGTTTGTAGATGAGGAACGAAGCAAACGTTTGTAAATCTAATCTGTTTGGTGGAGCAGTAGAGGGAGAGGAGAGGGCTTCATCTATTCCAGTCTAAAAGAAAAGAGAGAGATCATACCGGTAAAAAAGAAATAAATTTAAAAGGCTAACTTGTTGCTTAAGTTGATCAATAATCAGTTCAGCCTTAAAAACAATCCTTGGCAGAAGCATAATGACATTGACAGCATCATAATCACCTACAGGAGATCACAGTAAAGCAAGGTGTACACTGTACCTGAACATGTAGTACAGGGTCATCAGGTTCACTTACCTCCACTGACAAGGAATGAATTCGGAAGAAAAGACTTGAAATAATTTATTATCTCACTGGACTGCTGAGACTCAAGTTTACGCAATTCGTAATCAATTGTCTAAAAAATAAACAAAAACTTGAATCTCATTCTCCCATTCTAATAATCTCATTCTCCCATTCCAATAATCTCATTCTCACATTCCCATACTCTCATTCTCCATTCCCATACTCTCATTCCCATACCCTTGAATAGGCTTGAACAGCTGATGTCTTTATTTGACTCAACATTGTCTCCGATGACACAATCGAAGGAGTTGACTCCACCTCCCCTTGCTCCTCCTTTGGCTGCTTCCTTAATTCAGTTAGATCCGTCTGCAATAAACCACGCCCATAAACCACACCTAATAACCCCACCCCTTACCTGCAAGTGACGGACTAAGTCCCTAAACTTGTCAATGGTCTTCTGTTGGTCAACAATGGTTTCCTGAGAAGCGTCTAGTTTTTGTTCCAGCTGCCGTATGTTGTTCATGTTCATGTCCAGCTCCTCCCTTAGCTCGTGTTCCTCCTCTATCTTTATTTCTTCTTGCTGCTCGCTCAGTTCTCTCAAAGCCTCAAGGTCAGACACTGCCTCGTTCAGTTGTACAATATCTTCTTCTAATTTTAGATTCTGCTCAGTGAGCTTCTCTACCATTTCTTCCGCCCCCATTGCAATGTCCACCTGCTCCTTAAGTGTAGCTATAAATTCCTCAGCTCCCTATCAGTACAGAACATGTCACACTAACGTGATTGGTCTATTACTTTTAGTTCTTCTTCCAGTCGGGATTTCTGCTCATTAGTCTGAGACAGAACTTGAGTTTGTTTCTCAAAATCTCTGAGGAGAAGCTGGTGCTCTGACTTCTCCTCGTTTGAAACATCTCTTAATCTGGGAAGAGAGAGAGAGAGAGAAAGAGAGAGAGAACAGAGGAGGAAGGAGGAAAAGTAAAGTCAGAACATATTCTCAATGTATTCCCATACACACCTCATTAGTGCTTCTTTCAGACGGTTATTCTGTTGCTCCAGTTGCTTGAGTTGGCCGCTAGCAGCTGCTCCCTCATATCCCGACTCACTGATCTCATTCTGGAGTATCTCAAGGTCCATACTCAGCTCCTGTATCTGCTCCTTTAGAGCCTCATTCTCCGCTAGCAGACCTTCACACTTTAAAGAAAGAAGGAGGGGGAAGAGAGAAAGAAGTGTAAAGAAGAATTGGTTTACAGTAGTTGTTGACTGGCAAATTTCAGATAAGAACATGCACATGATGAAAATGTATAAGAAAGTGTGTTTTTGATCAAATACAGATACACTGCAACTTTTAAAAATTACTAAAAATCAAATAGAACTATTATTAACTCAAACCTTTTCTTCTGCCATTTCCTTGTCAAGTGTTGCAATCTCCACAGCATCAGAGAGTTCTCTCAGTTCATCCTCCACCTGCTCCTTAGTTAACTGGGCATCCCTCGCCTCTTTCTTTGCTTGCTTCAACTGTTGCTGAAGATCAGACTGTGACTCAGTCCATTTTGCTTTATATTCAACCATCTACAACAAAAAAGAATTGAATATACAATAATACATGAACATGTGCTACAGTACAGTACAGAATACTTTACATTAACCCCAAAAATTGATTAAAATTGAATTGGCTCAAACTTTCTACAAAGCATAAGGACATCAATCAATGTACAATTGTACATTAAATATAGCCATTACTTGTTGGTATTGCATACGATACTTTTCCAATTCCTTTATCTTTGTTTTATCTTCAGCTCTTTTCTGTTGGAGTATCGACAGTTTCTGCTGTAAATCCAACACCACTGGATCCGTTCCCCCTGACTCTGCGGACACCTAAAAGGGGTGTGGTCAAGAGACATAAAATAATTATGTAATAAGATTACCAAAGGAAGGGGAGGAGGCAAAGGTGACTCCTCATCTTTGGGTGTGGCTTTGTGAGGGACTTTAGGTGACGTTGAGCTAGGAGTGGAACCAGGTGTAGTGTGACCACTCCCACTTCTAGGGGATGGTTTAGCAAGTTGTGATCGTTTGGCTCCAGGGGATGAGCCAGTGATCGGCGATTTGGTACCTCCTAGTCTCTTCTTTGGTACAAGGGTAGACGAGGGTACGTCCCCCAGGGACTCAATTTGAAGAGATCGAACCATTAGCCCATGCTTCTCACGACACTCAAAATAAACCTGTGATAAAAAAATAATAACAACAATAACAACAACAACAACAACAATAACAACAAATATTAATGACCATGGTACCTTGTCTTTGACAGATCCATTGTTTTTCCCTTTAGGATCATCCAACTCTACTCCCACCCATTTACCAGGAGCAAACTCGGTGTTTCCAAAGAACCTTATGGTCCCCTCAAGGTTCTTGTCTTTAACGAGGACCCTAAGACCTGGTCTTATCCAACTTTCTGGTGAGGAGGTTGTGGGTGTGGCTACAAGACCTCCACTGTCAATCGGGTCGAGTTGATGATATCGTACCATTAAACCATACCCCTCCTCACAACTGAAGTATGACTAAAATATAATTATAGAAGTGAAGACTAGTCAATAGTTGCTATTCTCACACCTTTCCTTTGACAGTTCCATCGTTTTTCCCTTTCTGTTCGTCCAGTTCAACGCCAGCCCAGAGACCAGGAGCGAAATTAGTCTCACCCAAAAACCTTACCGTCCCCTCTAGACCTCTATCCTTTACCAAGACTTTAGAACCGACCTTCAACCACTCAGGGGTACTATCCGCCATTTTAAGTAGGCGGAGTAAAATGACGACATAGACTACACGTCATATTAAATTTTATTTTATTAAAAATTAATTTTAATTTAAAATGGGCGGGACCAAACAAAGGAAAAGTTGGGCGTGGTTTGTATTTCAAGATGGCGTCTGAAGAGGAGGTAGAGAAATCAGTTTCTCCAGAAGCTACAGACGGTAAGTGCATTGAGCAGTTACTCTTATACACACGAGTAGATGCAGATCGTCAAATGAGGAGGAGAAAGAGAGGCTACCTAAGGATGTACTATGGTGTTACTGATGAAGGAACTGGTGGAGCCTCAGCCCGTGAACCGGCCAACCCTCTAGACATTGATAGCTCTGGATTTAAAGTAGACCAGTACATGGAGAAGATGCTTAGAAACCTCTCGCTAACTGACTTGTATGACAAAGAGCGAAAAGTGAAGAAAGGTGAGTGTGGTGTATATGTACAAGTACAGAACTACAGATGATAAGATTTTGCATTGCTTTTTGGTAGTGACATTATTTTTATGAATCTTTCTACTGTAGAAACGTTGCAGCTGGATAGCAATATGCAGCATTTGGTGTATGAGAATCACTCAAAATTCATCAAGGCATCCGAAACTATCAAAGAGGTAATTTTGTGTGCAATTTCTGGGTTCAACTTTCTTGGTACTATATATAGTACAGGGATTTTTTGCCTGATTTTCGAGCAAACTTTAAAATTAACATAAAATTTGTTCTTGCTTTCTCCTTTGTTTTATTCTTTTCTTTCTTATCCTCAGATGAAAGATGATTTTCAGAGATTAGAGGACGGTATGTCGAAGTTAAGCTCACGAATTGAAGGAATCAGAAGCTCCAGTAATTCCATAAATGAGGCATTATCAGAGAGAAAGCAGCAGATAGCTAAACTCTCGTCTGTTCATCATTTGCTTAAGAAGGTGTAAAAAGTGTCCTTTTATTGATTTTAGTTTTTATTTTTTTCCCAACAGCTGCAATTTCTTTTTGAGTTACCAGGACGTTTGAACAAGTGTCTTGAGAGAAGAGCTTACAGTCAAGCAGTGAAGTACGTTCAGTAGAAAGTTTATGGATTATCTTCTCTCTTCCTCTCTCTTTATCTTCTTCCAGTTATTATGTTAAAGCTCAGAAAGTTTTAGAGCAGTATAAGCATTTGCCGTCATTTCATGGCATCCAACACGATTGTTTGGCGATAATAGACGAACTTAAGACACTACTGAAAGGACGACTTGATGATCAGCAGGTAAACATAAGAGAAATCACACTAATTATTAAAGTGATAATCTAAATGATTTGTGTAAACTACTCCTTGCTCTATGAATATCGTTATAATACCAAACTTCCAAAGCATGTTTTCATAGCCAGTAACTGCATCTATGCATGTAATATTATTATCACTGATATCAAGAGTATCATTATCTTCATTGGGCTGCTTTAGTGCTATATATAACATGTGTTTTGACTTCAGGCTATAAATCATGTTTTGGTTTGTATATTTTGGTTGGACTGCTGTGAAGTGGCCTGTTGGTCTAGGGGTATGATTCTCGCTTAGGGTGCGAGAGGTCCCGGGTTCAACTCCCGGACAGGCCCTCTTTTTTGCTCCTCCCAAAAATTATAACTTATTTTTGGCATTTTGAAAACTTTGACAATAATTTTTTACTGTTTTTAGTCGTCACCAAAGATGATAGCAGAAGCTGTTGATCTTCTGTTACAGCTGCAGGAGCCACCTCAAGCTCTCTGCCAGCAGTATCTGGACAAGTAAGCTCTGTTCATTCATCCTAATAACACTGATTGATTAAATTGATTAAATTGTTAAAATTTTACTTTGGCAAGTAAAAACAAGTTAAACGTTGACTAAAATTTAGCTCAAAACTTCTTCCATGGTCATTATTATAAATTTAAAATTTTCTCTTTTTTTAGTTCCAGAAGGCAGCTAGAGTCAGATCTTCTGAAAGTAGAAACAGCTGCTAAAGTAAGTGGCTCCAATTGTTAATTAATAATTAATTAATAATTGCTTTTTAAAAGACTCTTCCAAGTAGTACTGGAAATGATGAAGAGGATGGTGTCGTTGTGGTAGGTGTGGTCTTTATTTTATATTGGTCATGTGCTTTATATTGCATAGGATGCCGTAGAATTTGTGGGCGTGGTTTGCAATGGTTTCCTTGGCAACATGAGCCTCATCATTCAGTCGTGTTTTGACATGTTTATCAGAAAGAAATCAGTATGCCACAGGTAAGTGTAGTTAGTGTACATGAATTACGATTTACCATACAGCATCAAGTTTTGTTGGTCAAACATATTTTGTTATAAATTTTGTTACTCTCTCCCTCAGTACTGATGTTGCTGTAGTATCTAAGGAAGCACTGGTAGTGTTTGTACAAGAGCTGATGAGTAGATGCTCTTCACTTATCAACGATAAACTCACTCTTGAGGTAACAGGAGTTTAGTACCCCGTGTTTGTATTTGTTAATAAGACATACTTCATTATTTTATTTATTTATTTATTTATTTATTTTATTTATTTTATTTATTTATTGTGATAGGCTAAGATGCTAAACAGTGCCCATTTAGCTCGAGCTCTTGACAGATTATCAGGAAAGCTACACACATTAGACCAGCTGCTACCCTCAGCCGGCATATACAGGTACAGGATTTCCCACAGGATTTTGGCTTAGCACACATGCAGCTTCTTGTCAGTGAATTGAGATGATTACCCATGGTTTTTTCCAAAAAATGGGCCAAAAATCACTCCAAATTTTTATTACATTTTCTGATGCATATTGATGTTCTTATGCTGTGTAGAAAGTTTGAGGTGATTCCGAATTCAATTTTTCAAGTTACAGCCATTTTATGAAATTGCCAAAAATCTGAAAAATACCCAAGGCTATAGCCCATGGTTTTTCCCAAAAAATGGCTCCGAAATCACTCCAAATTTTTATTACATTTTCTGATATATATTGATGTTCTTATGCTGTGTAGAAAGTTTGAGGTGATTCCGACTTCAATTTTCAAGTTACGGCTATTTTAAGAAAACGTCGAAATTCTGAAAAATACCCAAGGCTATAGCCCATGGTTTTTTCCAAAAAATTGGTAAAAAATCATCCCAAATTTTTATTACATTTTCTAATACATATTGATGCCCTTATGCTGTGTAGAAAGTTTGAGGTGATTCCGACTTCAATTTTTCAAGTTACGGCCATTTTAAGAAAGCGCCAAAAATCTGAAAAATACCCAAGGCTATAGCCCATGGTTTTTTCCAAAAAATGGCTTTGAAATCACTCCAAATTTTTATTACATTTTCTGATGCATATTGATGTCCTTATGCTGTGTAGAAAGTTTGAGGTGATTCCGACTTCAATTTTTCAAGTTACGGCCATTTTAAGAAAACGCCAAAAATCTGAAAAATACCCAAGGCTATAGCCCATGGTTTTTTCCAAAAAATGGCTCCGAAATCACCCCAAATTTTTATTACATTTTCTGATACATATTGATGTCCTTATGCTGTGTAGCAAGTTTGAGCTGATTCCGACTTGAATTTTTCAAGTTACGGCCATTTTAAGAAAACGCCAAAAATCTGAAAAATACCCAAGGCTATAGCCCATGGTTTTTTCCAAAAAATGGCTCCGAAATCACCCCAAATTTTTATTACATTTTCTGATGCATATTAATGCCCTTATGCTGTGTAGCAAGTTTGAGCTGATTCCGACTTGAATTTTTCAAGTTACGGCCATTTTAAGAAAACGCCAAAATTCTGAAAAATACCCAAGGCTATAGCCCATGGTTTTTTCCAAAAAATGGCTCTGAAATCACACTACATTTTTATTACATTTTCTGATACATATTGATGTCCTTATGCTGTGTAGAAATTTTGAGCTGATTCCGACAACAAATTTTTGAGTTATGAGCACTTTTTGAAATGACCCAATTTTAGGAAAAAAGCAAGGACACTTAGTATGCTTTGTGGAAACCCTGTACAGTACAGAAGTACAGTAATTTATGTCATTTGATCATCAGCTGTAGTTATTTATAGTAACAATTGCTTGTCTTTATTTATTAATTTGTAGTAACTGTCAGTCAATGATCAAGATGGTTGTACACATTCATACTGAGAGCCATGCCCACTGCCTTTTACAGAACTTCTCTTCGACTGTAACTGATATCCGACAGGAAATAGCAACTTTTAAAGGTGCCACGCCTTCTTCGACTCCACCCCTTAGCGACCACAGCACTGCCCTTTATGCAGCCATTAAGACAGGACTGGATTCATCACTCACTAATCTCCTGGTTAATTAACTATTAATAATCAACTATCTGTTAATTAACTATTGTTTCTAATTAATTAGGAATTCATTAGTCCTGATATTAATTTTACGATGCAAGACGGTTTCCGGAAAGAGTTTTGCCTCAAATGCGTTCGACAAGAAGTTGTGGTGGATTTTTTAAACTCTGTCATTAGAGTCTGCAAGGTTGGTCTGGTTAGAGTTGGCATAGATTCTTACAAATGCATGGTTTTAGGAATTTACCGAATCATCTCGTGAGACAGTAACTAGCTACCCTCCATCACTGATACTGATATTAGCAGGTGTGATGCATCAATTGGAACGATCACACATCAGCTATTTGGTAATGACTATCACGTGATTATCATGTGATCAGTTTAATTGATTGATTTAGGTCAGTTATGCCGACGAAAAATTCTCACCTTTTGAGAAAGGAAAGAACCCAGCGACTCCAATTGATTCAATTGTTACTGAAGCTAAGACAACAGCTGAAGTAAGAACCTTCATGTGATCATCATGTGATGTCTTTCATTAATAATTTATTAAATATCACTTTTATCTTTCCTGTGCTTGTTTAGCTGCTCATCAATCACTATGTACGGATGCAAGGACAAGTGTTAGCCCAAGTAATGTGACGTGGTATACATCATTTATATGTATCTGCTTCTCCCCCTTCTCTCTCCTTCAAGATGATACGTAAAAGTGTGGAGACGAGAGATTGGCTGAACACTATTGAGCCACGTAATGTCCGCTCCGTCATGAGAAGAATGGTGGAAGAAGTGACAGTCATTGACAAACAGGTTGGACTACTTTTTGAAGAAGGATTTCGGAAAAGTGACGGATCAGGTATACACTCCATGTTACTGCAATTCCTTAATTATTATCATGATGATGATGTTTAGAAACAAGTCGAACCTTCACATACAGCGTCACTAAAGGAGGCAATGGAGGTTACCCTTACTCTTCAAGGTGAGTTGTAGTGAAAGTTATTGGCACATGGTAACTTGGCGTTCTTGTTCCTGTAGCCATAGTGGGTTGGGTGACTCCAGTTTGCTTAGCAACATTCAAAAGTTGTTTTTCGAGAAGATTGAAGTCTTTGGAAATGTTGAATTTACCAAATTATCAATTGTGACAGGAGTCATAAAGATTGCATTAAAGGTAAGTCAGTTTTATCATCATGTAAAAGTATGTATTATTATTCTTTATGTATTCTCCATTCCATTTCTCTCCCTACCATTGCACCACAGGCTCTTGTTGAGTGTGTACGTTTAAGAACGTTTGGTAAATATGGTCTACAGCAGATGCAAGTTGATGCTCATTATCTTCAGATCTACTTATGGAGATATGTCAGTGATGAGCAGTGAGTTAACACCACGTCAATTATAGTATCTATAACCATGTTACAAGAGTGTTAATATCGTGTTAGTATTGCGCTAGTGTTGTGTATTGGATAATATAACCGTGAGATTAAGATTGCGTTAATATTAGGTTAGTTCGTGTTCTACTTGATGAGGTCATTAGTAGTACAATTGGAAGGTGTAGAGATCCTGTTCTTATGGAGCAAAGTGTAAGCTTAATACAAATAATAATGACTTTAAATATTCAAATGATCTCTTTGCAGGTGGTTGAGTTAATTTGTGAAAACTCATAATGAGAAGGAACATTGTACGTGTTGATAGAACATGCTTTATATTCTTAATATTTTGCTGTTTATTGTTGTTGTTATTGCTTTCAATAGAAGACAACAATTATTTATTGTTATTATTATTTTATGATGAGAAAGATTAACAGATGACAAGATAAAGAAGTAGAGATGGATGGAGAGAAAGAGGAGGAGGAGAAAGAAGTGTCTGCTACCAATCAGCTGCAGATGAAGCAAGGTAATCCTTCCTGCCAATAGTACCGGCCTGCTTCTGTTGGACTGCCTCAAGTTTAGGACAGTCAGTGATCCTGTGACCCAAACCACCACAATAAGCACAACCATGATCATCTACCAGAGAGAAGAGAGAACAAGAGAGAGAGAGGGAGAAGAGAGGTGAAATATACAAAAGTGGATTGGGAACATGTTAGTGTCACTACCTCCAAGGTCCACCAGGTCATCATTAAGAGAATCAATGGCAGTAAGAAATGGTGGCACTCTCTGCTTAGCTTCCATTAGTAGAGCCTTTAAATCACGTAAGACCGACTCCTCTATACAATAGAGAAAGAGAGAGAGAGAGATCATGGGAGTATTTGAGAGACCTCCACTCACCACAAGCCTTGTTTATGAAGGTAGTGGCTATTCCAGTCTTTCCACATCTGCCTGTCCTACCGATCCTATGCACTACAAGTTGCTACCATGAAACCACTAGTGTATTGATTGTGAATGGACTTACCGTAATTCTCTATATCATTAGGCATGTCGTAATTAATGACGTGTTGAATGTTATTGAAATCAAGTCCCTTAGAGGCAATGTCTGTAGCAACCAGCACGTCTTTCCTTAGCTCTTTAAACTCTCTCACCGCCCACTGTCTATCCTCTTGATCTGTGCGGTTTATAATAATTAAGAAATAATATCATTATACATAATAAAATTGATAAATAAAGTAGCAACACCTTTTCCTCCATGAATAGCAACTGCTTGAACACCTTTCAACAGCAAGTACTCATGTATGTCATCAACTTCTGATTTCTTCTCAGAAAATATCAACACCTAACAGGAATAGTAATAATTATACCAACAATTAAATTGAAACAATAATAATAATAATAATAATAATAATAATAATATAATTAATCTAGCCTTTAAATTGAAGCCCCTTTACAATCAACTAGCTATTCTATAATCATGGCACTTACTGGTGGCGGGGTTTTCTGCAGACACTCCAACAAATAAAGAACTTTGGCCTCCTGTTTGACATACTCCACCTCTTGAATGACGTCCAGGTTAGCAGCACCTGCTCTGCCCACATTAATAGTAACTGTAAGGAGATCATGTGATCCTCATGTGATCAATACACGTACCTGGTTGGACCAGTGCACTCCTGGCAAAGTTTTGAATCTTCTTTGGCATCGTAGCACTGAACAGAAGGGTCTGCCTTTGACACTACAGAAATAAATTAAACTTTAATAAATTTCAACTTTTTCAACTGCAGATGCATGTAGAAGTAAAGCTAGAACTGTATTCTGTTGGAAAGGAACTGAAAGAATGATAGACTAAGTATTTAATACTTTTATCAAATCTGCATGAACAAACCCAAAGTGAATAAATTTTTACTAAATTATTGCAGACTTGGTACCTTGAAATATGAAAATATTGTCCGAATGTCTTCCTCAAATCCTAAATCAATCATCCTGTCTGCTTCATCCAGTGACAGATACCTAAAGGAGAATAGCGGAGGTTAGGGTTCTCTAAAAAACCTTACACACGAACCTGCACACATCAAGATTCATTATCTTTTTATCAAGAAGATCCATCAGTCGTCCTGGGGTAGCAACAACAATATGGACCCCTCTGATAGCAGGAGAGGAGAGAAGAGAAATGGAGAGACAAGTAAAGAAATGGACGCTACCTTTTGAGTCTGTCGATCTGGTCCTTCATAGGGACTCCCCCTATGCAGAGAAGGGGGCGGACCACAGGATAACCCTCGGCTTGTAAGTGACTTGTGAAATCTTTCACAACATCAAATGTCTGATTGGCCAGTTCTCTCTAGGAAACGAAACATAATAGGTGAGAATGATTTGCATATAAAATGACTAGGAGAGAATTTTCATTTTTACTGATACAAATCTACATATACATGTTCTAATGACAGCTGCAAGCTGTGAGTACTTCCCACCAAATTAATGGGCACACTCACCGAAGGGCATATAACAAGACCAAAGGGACCCTCTCCAGGAGCAAATGGTAGCTTCTTCTCTTGCTCCAAACAGAACATCACAATTGGAAGAGTGAATACTAGTGTCTTCCCAGAGCCAGTGAATGCGATACCAATCATGTCTCTACCTGACAAACTGTGAGGGGGAGAGAGGAGAAAGAAGGATACAGTTGAACTCTCTCTTCATTCTCTCTCTTTCTCTCTTCTCTCTTCCTTACGCTGTGGGTAGTCCTTGGATCTGTATTGGCGTTGGTCTTGTTATGCCTTTCTTCTTTAGAGCAGTCAATATTGGACGAGGGAACTTCATTTCCTTCGCAACAAACACAAGAACAAATCACATGACACACAGTATACATGCATGTACAGGGACTTTGACCCAATTTTTGAGCAACTTAAAAAATTCATAAAAAATCCAATTGTGATTGGAATCAGCTCAAACTTGATACACAACATAAATACATGTATATGTATCAGGAAATGTATCATTGTAGTGTGGGACTTACTTTAAAGGTTTTTATAGGCGGTGGAAGGTTCTCTCCTTCCGTCAGTATGTGCCATTTCTTCCTAATCCTCTCGTGACGTCCTTTAGACGCTACATTAATATAATGAGGAGGCCTCCATCTATTAATAAAGTTATTAAACTCTTATTTTAACCCTCTCATAACTCACCCTGTCACTAGAGACTCCTTGTAAACCACACCCTTTGCTAATTCGCCCACGCTCATCAAGGCTGTGTATTAGGGGAGTGGTCAATAAATGGTTGAAAGGTTATAGTTACATGTACCTCTCGTCTCTTGGATATTGTGTAGGATCTTCTCTTCCTCTTCTTTTTGTTTGTCGAGTTCAGAAACTTTATGAGCTAAAAGGAGAGAGAGAGAGAAATTTAAAAAAGAGGAAGTCATATACCTTCAGCTTTTTTCTTCAGTTCCGAGTGCTGGTCCAGTAAACTGACTTTTGATCTTGGGCCAATCTCAGGCTCCGCCTCCTCAGGCCCACCTGTCGTCTCCTTGGGTTTTTCTTGTTCTTCAAATCTCGACCTCTTTTGTTTAAATTTTTCCAATTTCTCTAGCTAAAATAAAACAAAATTATTATTATAACAATATTCATATCCTACCTCTTTTTTTCTTCTTTCCCTCAGTGGAACGTATGGTACAAAATGTTCATCCTCTTCTAAATCACGAGGCTCTTCCTCTAGCCTCCTCTGCTTCTTCTCTTCAGGGCCAGAAGATGATAAAGATCTTTTACTCATTTTTTGCGTTTCCACCACGTTTAGACCACACCCATAAAGTAGGCGTGTGCTATGCGTGGGTGGTAGTTCACCAGATCCGCCCACTTGTTGCAGAGGTGTTAGGGTGTGGCTGGTAAACATAGCTATAGCAGTGGGATATGGCAACAGCTTCAAGTGATATGAAAAAGAGAGGCTACCTGTACAAGCTACCAGTATCAGGAGGCGTTATAAAGGTGGATAGTATAATCAAGTCTATAGCAAATCATTTTTATATTTCATGAATCCATTTTTTGAAGGTATGGAGCAAGAGGTGGGCAGTCCTTCGCTCTACTTCTCATGATGGTGTGGTGAGACTGGAGTATTATGATAAAGAAGAGAATGAGGCCAAGGGAGAGAACAGGAGAGTCATCATACTGAGGAATAGCACTGGTTGCTGTGAGACTACTGATTACAAGAGGACAAAGCCTCACGCCTTCCAGTTCTCAAGTAGCATAGGTACATATACAAAGCAAAAGACATTATCTCCATTAATAGTTGAATTGTACTATCTTTGCTATTTTAAACACAGCTGTATGTATATCTTTATCTTGCATGTACACATACAGGTCATCATGTCTTCTCTACTGACTCTAAGACAGATCTTGATGACTGGATTGACTCCATTAACGATGCCATACAACAAGACAAAAAACTACAAAGGAAGAAGAGCAAATCCAAAACAAAAATGGCAGAAGCAGCAAGATCAATCACTACTCTCCATTCAACTGAGAGAAGCACAAGTGCCAGTAGCATAGGCAGTACAGGATCAAATGTTCCTCATCCAACAACACTCATGGGTAAGCAAATGAAACAAGGATGTGTTCATGTTATTGCAATATTATTATTTCTTGATAGGTGTATATCAAGTAGTTATTGATGATAATGATTTCTCAAGTCAATTAGGAGCTCATGGTAATTGCCAGATGAACGTTGGACCCAGAGGACTCAAACTAGTCTCTGATGCTACAGGATCTACAATTGGTGCTTGGCATTACAAGAGAATACGCTCATACTCAAAATCAGCAAACCGTCAGGTCATACTTGACATAGGGGGAACCAAGGATGGGTCTCCTGGTGGAAGGCTAGTTCTTTCCTCTGGTTCTTCGAAAGAAATGTTCAGTATGATTCATAGGAACATTAAACTGCTACGAAATATGAGAGAGAAGGCATTAGCAGAGAAAGAGAGAAGCGAAGCAGCTGAAGTAAAAGAAAGAGTAAAGACAAAAGAGCAGCAGCAACAGCAGCAAGATCATAGTAAAAGATCAAGTCTTGTAAGTAGACCAAGAAGCATGGCTTATGAGCTCCAACAAGGAGATCAAAACAAAAGAGTATCATATCCTTCTTTTGCTGAGCAGCAAACGGTCGGCAGTGATCTCATTCAGCTTGAGGGATTTACAGATGGTTTGGAAGACGATGAAGACTTTCAACAATTCCTCGATAGTCTTGATCCACTGATGCAGCCTGTACTGGAAAGTGTCAATGAGCTAACTAGTGAAGTGTATGATTCACCAAGCGACTGTCTACCTCCTCCTCCTCTTCCTCCCCCCAGGCCTACTCAATCCAATTCTTCCATCACGACAAATCCATTTGTGGGACCTCAAGGCCAACAGTCTCCAGATAATGCATCAAATCCATTTGTGAATGTTGATCCATTCAATACTTCACCACAAGGAAGTTTCTATAATTCCAAGGAAGACATTTTTGAGAACTTTGACAGTGGAGGAGGACAAAAGACTAGCACTCCAAGCAAATCTGCCAGCAACAACCCATTCCTTGCTCCAGGTGTGGCACCTGAGGCTAAAACTGGAAGTAAGAATCCTTTTGCCATGGCTAACACATCACTTGAAAATGAGCTAAAGGAATTGGAGAATCCTGAGAAACACACATACGCCAAACCTGTCAAGCCAGCAAAGAAAATGAGTCAACAGGAATTTGATAAAGTATGGAAGGACATTACAGCAGACTTGCAATTACCACCAAATTAATAATAATAATAATAATAATAATAATAATAATAATAATAACAATGAGGATTGCATGCACATACATGTAATTAATTGTATTTATTTATTATTTACATACGCTATATGTTATGCACGTACAGTTTAACTTTGTTTCTTCCTATTCTTTTATGTCAATAATGAAATTTAACTTTTTTTGCTTTATTCCTATTTAAAAGGCATACAAAATTCTCAACACAATCAGCAGTACACATACTTGAGTAATCCTTCTCTATCTTGGCTACCTGGTGCCTTTGCATTGCTCAAAAAATTACTGCTATATGATTTGCTAATGCCACTGGCTAATGATGATGATGTTTGATGATTTGTAGTTATGTTCTTTGCAGCTAAAGAAGAGGCATTCTGTCTTAAAGCAGGAGGAGGTAATAATGGCAGAGTATCAAAATCATTTTCTTCAAAATCATCATCAAATGGATCCAGTAGCTTCTCCTGACCTTCTATTTCCTCTTCCTCCATGTTGTAAATAGCTTCCATAATGTCAATGGATGCCAGCTCAGATTCATCCAGTGGCTCCCAATCACTCTCATTCCCACTCTCTTCTTTCTCCTCTTCCTCATTCTCCCTAGTTAAATCAATAACAGGTTGCTGCTGCTGCTGATGCCTTTGAGTCTTAACTTTAAAAGTCATGTCATTTTTAGGATGAAATGGTGAAGGTTTTACATGACTCCAAGATGGCTTTGTTGATGACTCTACTGCCTTATCTTGCTGTTGGTGTCCATACTTCATTTGCCTTGTGTAGCATTCTTGCTGCAGAGCTTCAAGCTCTTCTCTCAACTGGTGATAGAGTCTTTCAGAGGAGCTGTTGTGGCAAGCCTCTAACTCCTGTACATGCCTTTAAATAAATAAATATTGATATTAATCTTTATAATCTATAAGACTTACTTCTTTAGTTCAGGGTCTTCATCAAGTCCTTCAGTTAGTGAGTACTTTTCTTTTTCAAGTGAAGCCTTTTGAGACATTAGTCTATCGTGTTCATTTTTTACAACTGGATGTAATAAGGCCAATTCATTATAGCATGTTTCATAATGACAAGTTCATGTATAATACATTATAAATATTAGTATCTTACTAGCCATTGTTCTTAGGAGTATCTGTAATGGCTTTTCTTCTTTAACTAGTTTCTTCTCAGCTTTCAGCAGCTCCTCTTTTCTAGACTCCAGCTGGAGGCATTCTTTTAAAATCAGTCGAAAAATGAAAATGTTACGAGAAATTGAACATACGTTCTTCTAAGAGTCTAGTCTCTTCTTGTAGAAGTTTCACCTGCTTCTGGGTCTGGAGCTCTTGATACTTAATCCCGGACCCCTTCAGATCATAATTACTATTAAATTCACTCAATTCTGCTTGAAAATCATCTCTATAATTGAAGAAAGAAGACAATTTTAAAATGACATATATACACTCTGTTACCTTTCTTTCTCAATAGTTTTAGTCAACTTATCCTATAAAAATAAATAACGATATATAAACAGTATTAATTTTTACCAATTCATTTTCTAAATCCTTAATTTCTGATTCCAGTTCTTTATTCTTCTCGTCGAGTGTTTCTTTCTTTATTTCAATCATTTTTTGTTTGACCTCACAATCAACCAGCGACTGCATCTTTACTATCCTCTGTCCTTCCAAAGATGACGTCCTATCTTTGGCTCTCATCAAATCTCTCTGCAATGATTCTATTTGCACATTCACTACATTACAGAGTATATTATACACATAAATATTATAAAAGCAAATTATAATTGGCATCATTCAGCTTTATAAGTTACAAGTTATCACGCTGGTCATAATGTCTTACACTCTTTCTGGTAGTTTAGGCGGTTGTTGAAGGTTTGCTCAGAGTGCAGTATCTCCTGGAACAGCTGGTTCAAGGAGTTCATCTTTCAATTCTTCAGTTCAGGCATTAATTATTAATTAATTAAAATTAATATTCATTAAAATAAAAATTATAAAAATAATTAAATTAAGTATAAAAATTACTTCTAAACTTGTCACTACCTAAAGAAAAGCACAGGGTGATACTATGTACAATAATAGTGTAACATACCTCAATATTTTAATGGCGGTTTGAGCTGCTAATCTTCCAGCTGCACCAACAACACCACCACCTTCAAAAACACTCATAAAATACTTTGTCTCTCTTTCTCTCTTACCAGGATGGGCTCCACTGCCACAGAGGAGGAGTCCCTCTACATCAGGGCAGGTATAAGATGGATTCAAACTTGTCGGTCTGTTCACATACAACTGAGACAATGACAATGAGCCATGGAATATATTCTAAACATCACGAGAGCAGCTGGTGAAATCATATTGCATCATTTTCAAAGCAAATCTACTTAAAATTTCTACAAAGCATCAAAATAATGATGCTAAATCTAGGTGTGATTTTGGGTACCCATAATTCAAAAAAATAACTGAAGGAATCGACTGAATAGCATAAGGGAACTTACTCCTCCAGTTAGTCCAAATATTCTCTCAAGATCGGGAGGAGTGAGTGTCTCCCAGTCAATAATTAAGTCTTTAAATCCAGGGGCATACTCTTCAATCTTATCAAACACTGACAGGGGAAAAAGAGGATCATTATGTCAAAACCCACGCTATTACATCTAATACCTAATTGTGTATATTTCTCTTTTCCTTCACTGCTCCAACAGCTGCTACTAGTCTCAGTATAACCAGCTGGTGAATAAGGAGTGTATTGAGTGAAGAGAGAAGCAACATGACAACCACTGGGAGCTAACGTAGGGTCCAGTGCAGAGGGCAAACACATTTCTATAAGGGGTCTGAGACATATATAAACACATAATTTACAAAAGTTATGGAGACTATACTTTCTGGACCAGTTTCCTTGCAATACGTCCACATAGCTTTCGTGCAGCTGATCCATGCTCTCAGTGTTGAGGTGAATGGTTGTTCTGTGGTGAGGACCAGGGGAAGAGGAGGAGGGAGTATAACCAGCTGGTGATGCTATGAACTGCGGCAAACCTTTAAGAGCAACTACAAATGAAAAGGAGACTACCAATAATTATAAAGACACAGTATCATGTACCGTTAATTTTAGTTACAGTTGATGTGTAATCGTATGATGAGAGAATCTTCTGGAAGGATTCAGAAAGTGTTCCCTGCAATAGAATTAAGAAGTAATAATAAAAAACTCCATCTCTCTCTCTCTTCTGTGTTACTTGAGGTAGCAAGGTTTCAAATGTGATGCGTGGAGTTGCATTTGAGAGTACTACTTTAGCTTCAACTTGAGTCCCATCTTCTAAGAGTATACCTTTAGCCTTTCCATCAACAACTAGTACCTCTTTCACTGGCTGCAAGAGAGAGAAGTTAAAGTGAATATAATTATAATACTTTACTTTTTCTGTAAAGAGATGAGCTCCACTTGATAAAGCTGATCGAGCTATGGCAGCTGATACTGAGCCCATTCCTCCTTCAGCATAGCACCACGCGTTACGGACACCATCCATTTCCCCCATCACATGATGGAGTAATATATACCTGCATGGCGACAAATGGTATCCACTCAAAAAGTATAATGGCTTCTATTACTCTTACTAGTGCTCTGTCTCATTCTCTTATCTTCTTTCTTTCTCATTTGCCCTTTCTCTCTCTTCTTTCTTTTTCACATTCCCCCTCCTCTCTCTCTCTTACCCACTCCCAACAGAGTAAGGGCTCAGTAGTGCTCCTATAACAGCATCAGTAGCTAGAGTAGCCTTGAGGACATCACTCTCAAACCATCTGTTCAACACGTACAGGGAGACACTCGATAATGATACAGGAGTATGATAATGGGTTACTTATCTTGGAGGCTGGCGACATTACCAGGTCATAGAAACTGGGCAAGTCAGTTTTCAGACTAGACACTAGTTTTATACAATAATTTAATTTCATATTATATTCAATACTCATCTCTTACACATTTTCCCAAAAGGTATCATTGATCTGATTACTTGAACACGATCTCTCCAGCTGCTCGAGTTAATGTGAGACAAATTGAAAGGAACATAATCCAAGAGAGGATCAAGACTATAACCTATCACATGACAGTCACACGATAATTCTACACTTTGGCTAGATTTTCCTATGCATCTACACATATTAAGTTCCTTTATCTCAAATAGCAGAAGTAAGTAAATACTGATCTCATGAATGACTTACTTAGTCTTTCTAGCCATTCTTCATAATCTCCATAAACCTTTAGCAACACTTGAATCACAATCATTAATGGTGGCTCTTACCTCAGCATCCTTCACCGAAAACTTAGCTATTTCTTTTCTATTTTTGTTTTGGTCTCCGCCCAACAAAAGACTCTCATTACTGTTGATGATCGGAGTGAAGGAGTTGGGATCACGGAAATAGAAATTTAATCCGTGTCTCTAAAAAAATAATAAAGCGAACCTTTTAATTTTTGTTGGAATCAGCTCAAACTTTCTACATAGAATAAGGACATCACTATGTATCAAAAAATGTAAAAAATTTGGGGCGATTTTTTATCCATTTTTTGGAAAAAACCATGGGCTATAGCCTTGGGTATTTTTCAGATTTTTGGCATTTTCTTAAAATGGCCGCAACTCAAAAAATTGAAGTCGGAATCAGCTCAAACTTTCTACACAGCATAAGAACATCAATATGTATCAGAAAATGTAGTAAAAATTTGGGGTGATTTTTTATCCATTTTTTGGAAAAAACCATGGGCTAATATAGCCTTGGGTATTTTTCAAAATTTTGACGTTTTCTTAAAATGGCCGCAACTTGAAAAATTGAAGTCAGAATCAGCTCGAACTTGCTACACAGCATAAGGACATCAATATGTATCAGAAAGTGTAATAAAAATTTGGGGTGATTTCGGAGCCATTTTTTGGAAAAAACCATGGGCTATAGCCTTGGGTATTTTTCAGATTTTTGGCATTTTCTTAAAATGGCCGTAACTTAAAAAATTGAAGTCGGAATCAGCTCAAACTTGCTACACAGCATAAGGACATCAATATGTATCAGAAAATGTAATAAAAATTTGGGGTGATTTTGGAGCCATTTTCTGGAAAAAACCATGGGCTATAGCCTTGGGTATTTTTCAGAATTTTGGCGTTAGTGTAATTTTTAACTTTTAGCTCGAGGTCTTTAAATACAACTGGTCTTAGTAAACTCAGTAAATACGAAGCCCGTGAGAACTTAAATCCAGGAACAATCTCCTCAGTCACAGCTGCACCTCCTAAAACATGACGTCTCTCAAAAACGGCAACTTTCTTTCCTGCTTTAGATAGATATGCAGCCTAGAGAGTATAAAAAAGAATAAAATAACTAAAATAATAATATGGGATTTATTATTATCAGCAATAATGTTACGTACAGCAACAAGCCCATTGTGTCCTATAAAAAAAAGAATAATATTGAGTATAAATCAAGTTATTATACTCGTTATTGATACCTCCTCCAACAATGACAGCATCATACGGGGCTTCAATGGTCTGTGTGGAAGGTATGGTGGTTGTATCAGAGTAGCTCCTCGAGAGAGCGGCTGGTTGGAAGGCTCTAAATGAGAAAGAAGTTCCTTTCTGATAAGCTTTCCTTAACATGTGTGAAGACATTGCCATTGGAAGGCGGGGCTAGGTGGGTGGGGCTACTTGTCACTTTGCATTTGCAGCAAAAAAATGATGAAAGTTCCCGACAGGTAAGCAAAAGTATTATAATATTATCTAATGATATAATTTCTTTGCATTGAAGGTGGTTGGATTATACTCCTTTAAAAGATCATATAGAAGGAACTAGAATAATAGCGATAAAGACACCACTCAAAGAAGTAGACTAGTACTATTGTTCTTACTCCATAGTTCCTTTTGTTCAGTTTTTCAATACAGGACTGACTAGTGAGGAGATGGCAAAGAGAAGAATAGATACTGGAGTGCCAGTAGAGAAAGAGTAAGTGATGAAACCTTGCAATACCCATCGGGTGTGGCTTGTAAGATATACATTGTGCAAGCACATGGGCTTGTGACTCTAACACTGCAATATATCAGTAAGTATCATTATTTTTATTTTAGATTCACATCCACTCAGTTGGTGAGAATGCTACAATCGAAAAATTTAAACCTGGGACTTGTAATTGATTTAACAAACACCGATCGTTACTACAGCTGGAAGGTAGAGTCTTGAGATTATGTATGAGTTATTGTTACACCTGCAGTCTTTTGAAGACTTGGGTATCGAACATTACAAGCTACGCTGTCCAGGACACGAAATCCCTTCAGAAGAAATATACAAAAGGTAATTTTAAAATAAATAAAAATAAAATAATAATTATTTTACTTGTAATAACATAACTAGCTATGAATATTGATTAGTTAGTTAAACAATTTGCTGACTAAGCATCATGTATGCCATAGTCCACAGTGAAGGGACGAAGGAGAAATGGCCTAAAGCTCTTGAAGCACTGAGAGTAAAGTATGAGACAAAATGGCCATCTAGAGTAAAGGTGTTTTGTTATGGAAATGGGGAAGAAGTTTCAACTGTTTTGCCTCAATTGAGTGAGTTTCGACCGGCTTATACATGTTTCTTGGCTCATTATTCTGAAGCTATTGCTCCTTTTGTGGTAGAAGTTCATCAACTGACACGTAAAATAGACCCAGCCAATCCTTACACTGATACAATATGGGGGATACTGACTGGGATTAATGAAGACGATGTCCTATTTGCAATTAATGAGGTGGAGCTCACGGTACATAGGGTTTTAGGAGGCACACCTGTCAACTTGAATAAATTTGAGTCCGGGTCTTGGTACAACGAGGGGGTCGCTGGTGCTTCAGTTCACAAGGTGACAGAAGAAGAGGGTGTGGTCAAGAAGGAGTGTCCTTTAGATGCTACATCTGTACTTACGGGGGAACTGAGCGCGGAGAGAAATGTGGCCAATGGTACAGGGGTAGACATGATGGTCACCAGTGGTCACGCCTCGGAAAGAGATTGGAACATTGGTTACTCGTTTAAGAGCGGAAAGTTTATTTGTCCAACAGGCGAAATGGTAGGCCAGGCACTGGATGGTTCAATACATCCTATAAAACACAACGGAAAACCAAAGATCCTTAGTGCCGCCGGAAATTGTTTAGTTGGAAATATAGACGGAAAGAATTGCATGGCATTGGCTTGGATGCATTCAGTAGGTGTGGTCCAAATGACGGGCTACCTTGTTTCAACCTGGTATGGATATGGTGGCTGGGGCGTTCATCAATATTTCATCGACATGCCTGGAACACTCTCCTTTAGTCAGTCATTCTTTGCTAACAATCAATCTCTGATATATAAGCTACACAGTGAGTATCCTGAAGTAGCATCAATCATTGACAGTGGCATTGATCCAAAGGATGTGTCTCATGGTGTTGATAAAGATTGTGCTGGGCTCCTTCATGATAGAGATGTGGTTGCATTTTATGGCGATCCTGCATTTGAAGCAAAACTGGCCACAAAAGAAGACGAAACTCCATACACTGTTACAATCCTCCAACTTGCTTCTGAGACCCAGGGAGATTGGAAGAAATACGAAGCCAAGTTTGTCTTCAAGTCCTCCTTTGGTAGACACCCCATTTATATATTCCCTGAAGCTGTGACTGGGTACAGGCTGCTGGGAGGTGAGGCTGTGCTCACTTGTCGGTTTTTGATGTTTACTGGTTCATTCAAAGCAGAGGAAGAACACATCATAATATACGAGATTATTCATTGAATTTATTGCATGATAATGTTATAACAATTTTAAATAATAATTATTTTGTTATTCTTGAAGTTAGTTTTATTTGTAATTTGTAGTTTTAGTGAAAGGTTATCTCGATTTCTTTCCAAAGAGAGCAATGGTATGTATCAATGTGAATTTCCTTCATCTTGTGATGCCTTTCTTAGAATATGTTGCAGTACACTGTACTCATGGTGTTAACAGAACAGGCTATTTGATATGCAGGTAGTGATGAATGCTTCGGTGAAGCTGGGTATCATGTTAATTCAATTCCTTTCAGATATCTAGTTGAGCACTGTGGTTTTGAAACTGAAGATGCCATCAAAAGTAATCATTATCAATATTGTTGTGTTTTTAATGATTGTTAATGTTTTTTTAATTATGCATACTCTAGAATTTGGTGATGCAAGGGGCCACAGTATGGAACGAGAGAATTACCTCAAGGATTTGAGAAAACTTGTTAACGAGGGAGACAAGAGTAACAACGAAACCGGGATTCACTTGAAACACATGCCAAAAGAAAGAACAAGGCGAGACTATAGAGAGAGAAGTATTTCGCCAAAGCCCGTTTCAAATTTTGATCAACAAAGCTCTAGAAGAGAGACGTATTGTGATGCTGATTGGAGATCAAGTGAGAAATGGAGGTCACCATGGAGCAGCAGCTATTACGGCAGAAGTAGAGACAGTGATTACTGGAGAAGAAGCTACCAGTATTATGACAGATATGGGCAGAGGAGCTATCACCTAGGTGATACTGACTGGAGAAGAAACTATGATCATCATCATTATGGGTATGATTCTCACTATCAGCCACCACATCAAAGAAGAGATCACCATCACTATGAAAGTGGTCCAAGATATGGTCATAGTCATGAACAGGATAGAAGTCTGTATAGAGATTTTTTTGATACGAAACCCAACGGAGAAGGTAAGATCAATTTCTTTAATTGTATATTTATGGTAATGTTCTTATTTTAAGATTTCAGTTCAGGGTCACAGGCCAGCAGGAGTCATGAATACAGCTACTGGTGCCCACAGGGAAGGCCACCTTCCTCTCGAACACAAAGTTGATTGTATATAATGATAATATGTAATTGTTATTTCAATAATAATAATAATAATAATAATAATAATAATAAACATACAGTAGATTTTGACAGTCATTATGTATAATATATATAATAGAGAGTTTAATGAAGCTTGGTAGTATCATCTACTACTTGTAGGAATGAGAATGGATTGTGTGTGACTTGGATTATAAGATATGATAGTGCTCTAACTGTGCAGCTAGGAAGAAGTGACATTTGGTAGTTGTGGCCTGAGAGAGAGTGATTGAGTGATTTTGCCTAATTCACGTATGTAGCAAGTATTGCAAACTCTAAGTAATCTTTCATCATCGTCATCATCATCGTCATCATTTTTTGGCCCTTGTGGTAGGTAATGTGGAGAACATTGGGCACAAACAACCTATAATAATAATAATAATAATAATAATATTTATACATCTAACAACATAAAGTTTATCATTGCCTGAAGCTAAGTTTATTTTATTATGCTTTAGTGAGTGTATGGACTAGGATCACTGTTGTGGTTATTACAACTACATGAAAGTGAATCTTAATATGGCTATGTGATTGGAGCAAGGCATACCTTTCCACAGGCCCTGCAGTGATGTTTACGTCTGAAGAAAGAGAACTTATCGTGGCAGCTGTGACAAGCATGTGACTCTGAATCAGCTTCCCATTCAGTGCACACTAAAAAAGGACAATAGTTTAATTAAATGATAATTATAATGTTGACAGTTTAATTTAATAATAATTATAATGTTGACAGTGTCATTTGATGTTTGCCTCACTGGCTGCCAGCTTGCAAACTTAATTAATAAACCGGGACTTACTTTCAGTCGATGAATGCATTAACGAAGTTAGTGAGAGGTCAAATGTAATGGAATCAGAAGGCATGTCAAATCTATCTCTGAGCTTTGCTTCTCTCCTTCTTCTCTCTTCCATAGTCTCTTCCTCATCTTCTGGTTTGCTCAGTGTGAAGATGTAGGCTTGTTTCATGATGGCCCTTAGGTCTCTGGGATAATTTGACTGCAACTGGTCAGCCACTTTTGATATTGAGATGAAGAGTGCCTTAAGTGCCTCATTATCAACACTTCCGTCAGTTGAGAGAGTGTTGGCATCCTCACAGCTACACAGAGCCTTCTCAAGAGAAATGATCTCCTTTTCACTTAGTGAGCTTAAAGAATCTCTGAAAAGTGAAGAAAATTGAAAATAATATAAATTATTCATTTGTGAATTAAAGAAATGCTTTTCATTGTTGCATGCTCTGCTACTGCTTACTTGATTTCCGTGAGTAAGCGGTTGTATTGCTTGAAGCATGAGGGTGTGTTTGACCTTGGTCTTCTGGGATTAATAGGACCATCAACATTAACAGTTAAACCACTAGAGAGAGAGAGAGAGAGAGAGTCATAAAAGGTTTATCTGACTTGATGAGGTATACTTACAATATAATGGAGAGTCTTGGTATAGAAAACATGATTGTTGGATCCATCATTTCCAGCATGTCTTCAGTGAAATAATTATTTCCAATTGCCCTGTGTATGCATAGAAAGAAATGTATCAATTACACCATCACAACAGATAAAGATAACACCAACACCACAAAAATGTATTTATGGAAACCTTGCAAGACTACCACACACAAAAACATCATGCACTAACTACGTAAACATTGCATATAAAACCCAAGGGCTTCTCATTGTGAACTAACTGCCTCTTGTTCTAATTAGTTTCAACTGGCTCATGACATCACAATTACATCATAATAAACTGAAAACCACCACCATTATGAGTTACCTTAGTGTTGCTTCAGAGAAGAGGACAGCTAGTTCGTGTTGGTGGAGTAACTGAGTCTCTGTTCTTATGTTGAACATTATACTCATGTATCTATGTATGGAGAGAAAGGAGGATTAAATTACTTTAGTATACTACACAAGAGATCCCCATAAGGAAAGGCTGGAGTAGTAATCAGTGTAATTAAAAGGTAAGCAACTAACCTGAATTCAAAATCCACCCAACTTCGGTCAAATTCTTTTAAGAGTTCTTTGACCTGTAGAAGGAGGAAAAAGAGAATACATTTTTAAAATGTATTAAATTCTAAGGAAATGTACAGCTATAGTACAGGATATGATGTACCAAGTGATGCATGCCTGACATTGCCTGTGCATTACTATGCAAAAGAAATTAGTTCAGTGGAATTTAATGTTCATACATCATTTCCTGAGTTATAATTGTGGCATTTGGCAAGACAAACTCTTTAACTTGATGGTTACATTATTAATTGCTAACCACATTGCAAATACTCTGGACACTATCATGGGGATAGAAAAACTCCACAGTTTCAGAATTGTGGCTATGACTTAAGGGAAATGGGAGTCAGCCACCCACAGTCTACAAAGGCCCTTTGTATATACAGTGTGGGCTTACAAGCTGCACCCTTTCACCAGAGGGAAAATAACAGGAGGAGCAAAAGATGTACCCTTTGACGGTGGTGACAGTCCAGGCTTTGACAGCTCATTGAACATTGAAACCACAATACTAGGACATTCTAGGAACTGTCACCATAGAAAGCATGAATGGACTTAAACCATGAGTGTTATGAAATGTGATACTTGATACTGCATGTATACATCAATAGCCATGAACGTAGGCATGATAAAAATAGCACACATGTTGTCAACAAGTCATGCACTGCTAATTGTATTATTAATATAATTACATAATGCTGCAGTTAGTGGCTTACCCTTTCAGAGAAGAAAGGCTCGTGATAGTAATACTGTTGACTTTCATCTCTTAGTCTCTGTCGGAGCTGGCTGATTGATTTTGAGAGACGAGTTGCATACGGTCTTATCTCTAGTGATTCTATTTCATGATTAGCAATTTGGGAACCAGCAGCTAAGCACTAATGAAGAGAGAGAAATATTTGAAATATGCCATGATTAGCAAGTTATTAATGTTGATACTCACCTCTGCACCAAACCAAATTGATCCTGAGCCATGAATTGAAGAGAGAGAGAGAGGGAAAGAGAGAAAAAAAGAATGAAAAGACTTGATATTATTAATGTTGATATTGTACCATTGAAATCTTCAGTCTGCATTTCGTCTGGATACTTGATCCTAAACTCTGTCGATATCTGTAGATCAGGAATGGCCGTTTCCACAAGATACTTGAAAACGCCAATAAGATTGTGCTGGGAGTCTTTGAGCTGGCGGAGTAGCTGAGAGCGCCTATCTAGATTGTCTGGGTTAGTCTTCATCAGTTGGCTTAGCTCCCTCATCTGGTGCATGACTGAGAAGTCGCAGTGATGGAATAAAGCCAAGGGATGTTTTGAATCAGGCTAGGATTGATGGATAGTGCAATAATTTCTCTGTATACTAAGATTCCAGTCAAACTTACCCCTGCTATCTTGTAAAAGAGCCTCCTAATTGACTGCATCTTGCTTCTGATTGTTTTCTACTAAGCTACAAGAAGTTTTCTCACTATTTCCTTTAGCAATTCTACACTGCCCGCATCGTTTATATACCCACGTAGCATTCGAGCCCGCCCACGCGCAATGAATATAATTAACATAGTATGTGATTTCTTTGTGGGGAAAATTTGGAAAGCAGAAGGGGAAGAGAGGGAAAGAAAGATAGTCAGAGAGGGAAAGGATTAGCTGTCACTAGTCATAGAGGGGACAGGATCACTGGAACCCTTTGGCCTAAAAGAGGATACAACATCTGAAATGAGCCAAATCACAATAACACATGATGAATCACTCTCATCCCCACATGATCTGTACTACCATATCTTATCCCCACATGATCTGTACTACCATATCTCATCTCCACATGATCTGTACTATACTGCATAGTCTGATATTGTTTTGCTTTCTGACTATTTCTCAGCCTTTCTGTGTACTCCTCTGATATCCTTGCTCTCTCTCTCTCTCTCCCCCAATCCTTCCTCCTCTCTCTCCCTCTGACCTTGAACGATTACGAACAAAAGGTGAATGTTCTCCTACAAGAGAGTCATCACTTTCCTCTGCGTCACTCTCATGCTCTAGTGTCTTCCTTTTTCCTTTTTTCCGTCCATCCTTTTCCTTAGCAGCCGACTTTGCACTCTTCCTATGATGAGAAGAACTTCAAAAACATAATCAAAGAAATGATAAAAAGAATACGAATAAAAATGATAAATTCTGTAAAATAAACACACACACACACACACACACACACACACACACACACACACACACACACACACACACACACACACACCGCATATACGCCTCAAGGTCACGTTATATAATAACAAACTATCTCAGTTCAAGTTCAGTTTGGAAGTATATAACTTTGCAAATGAGAGAAAGAGAAAGAAGAATAGTAGAAGTTAGGAGAGGGAGAAGAAACAAAGGAGGGGAGATATGGAGGAAGAGAGAGAGAGAGTGAAACAGTAATAATCCCACATAGGAGGAGACCCTTACATGCATTTAGTCTGAAATCATAAACTATGATAATCTCCCTCCACAGTTAGCAAAACAATCACTTGATTACACACACATATGTAATACACACACATAATACACACATATATGTAATACACACACGTACATTAGTCAGTGTATAGAGGACAAATGGACCATGATATGATATTGTACACAAGTATATGTCATTTTTAATATAAATGCAACTAAAAGCAACAATAATTCAATAAGCTGCAAAAAGATACTAATTATAATAAAGAATATATATATATATATATATATATATACGTCATATTTTATCATCTGGATCTAAGAAAATTACACTATCCATTTTAGGATGTTTGACACGTAATAAAGTTATTATAATAATGTAAATAAACTTCTTATTAATCCTGCTATACATATATGAACATGTATCGGCTAGTACTGATATCATAAAAGGTAAATGATGAAGTACATGTGTACATAAGAAGAGGATAATAATGACAACAAAATTACCGAGAAGTTAAACTAAATGATGTCACACCTCAATAGTGAACAATGTGGCACTAATCCCAAGAATATGATAACCATATGATAACCAACCAATCACATTAAGGTATATTACTGTTTGGATAGGATTGACATATCACTAAATAAACAAACAGCAGAAATACTCTCAGTAATTATAATATACAGCATACTTACATGTAGTAAGAACATGTGTAGTACCCACCCACCCACACTAATGATAGCAACCCAGTATCATACTAGTTAGTATAAAACTTGAATATTAAGTAAAGTAGGTGGGGGGGGGGTAAAGTCCCCCTAGATTTTAGTAGTCTTAATCCCCTATTCCCCAATTTTAACAAAGACCCCCTCCCTAAATGTCAATACATTTATTATCATTTTATACCGACCCTCTCCCTCCCTCTCCTAAATTATGATGTAAAGGCAATGTTTATAAGCTGTAATCTCTCATGTACTTGACTAGACGTTAATTCACAAAGTGACGGATGACGACATGTATAGACTAAATATGATATACTAGTGACATCTGTCCTCATCACATCATCCTAACTCCTACAATCAAACATACCAATTGACATCTTAACGTAATCATTCTTCCTACACAATCTATGTCATCCATATTACTATTTCATATACATGATTAAACATACATAATTACAGTAATTGTATACACAATACCAGGAATCAGTGCACTATGAATTAACATAACGTTACATTACTAGGAATCAACCATACAAGTATATCATACACACGTACATGTATACAAAAAGTGATTGCTGTGAAGCCATTCCGCCTACAGTGTACACTATGCACGTGTTGAATTGATTATTTATTTTGTTTTTTGTTAAAATCATTTGCAATGTAAATCTTTTACCGTTTGCTGGATTTCATTGATGACTTTTTAACTGTACTTGAAATAGAAAAGCTAATGGGAAGAGAAGGAGAGAGAGGGAAAGAGAGATAAAGAGAGAGAGAGAGGGGGGGGGAGAGAGAGAAGGAGAGAGAGAGAGAGGGGGGGGGAAGAGAGAGAGAGAGAGAGAGAGGGAGAGAGAGAGAGAGAGAGAGAGAG